ACTGGGCTTGACCGCTTGGTTGGGCATGGGCTTGTCGACAGGACAGCAGTGACGCTCCGCATTTACATGTAAGTTGTAACTAGAAGATAAATGCCTAACAAAGCTTGTTGGGGGAAGGCAAAGTACCGGGGGTTGAAAACTGTGGGGATAAAGGGAAGTTGGAACGGGATTATAAAGGAGAAAATGCGTAAGAGAGGAAATAAGAAGGTGGGAAGGCTTGAGCAGTAGCATCCAAACCCCTATCCACCTTGATTGACGCAGCAGATAGCGCACCGTTGCTTATCCTCTGCGGTGGCCAGAGCATCAGAAGTCGGCTTGACGAAAGGTTCATAGTACTGCGTGGGCAGGATACTGTCAGGTTGCCCAGGCCTAGACAGGAGAACGATTAGGGTTCACAAACAAAGCCTTCACTTCAAAAAGCCTGACCGCAAGGGAGTGGGTTTGGCGTTGGTCTACAAGGAGTCTGTTTTAAGGAATAAGGAGCCACCCTCACTTCAACCCCAACCTGGAGGGCTGAGAATCTGAGCTTGCCTGGCCTCTAACCATCGTCCAATCTGGTATGAGTGGCTCTGAAGGTGCAGAAAAGCACCACCCAGCATAGCTCAATGGATTACTGAGGCACACAAACCATCACACCACTGTAAGGTCCAGCCTCATTGCGATGGCCGTAGGTAAATATTTAGATCAAAATTGGATGTGCCGAACAAAAACGCGTAGCGGTGTAGTTACCGCAAATTTCAAGTATACACATTGTCTGCTAACATAGTCGCGTGTCCCAGTTATTTGGGATAAATCATTTAATGCAGGTCATGTTATGCATCATCAAATCGATTTTTGAATTCGGACTATGTAGTAGCTGAGATGACAAGATGCAGAATTCCGCGGCCGGGATACACATAATGAGAAAAGGTTCTGACGGCGTTTCAACCGGCTATACTGTGTCGTCAACTTCAAATGGTGGCCTCTCAGTGAGATACTCTGGCTGAGTTTCAATAGCAGTCAGCATGGGTAGTTAAAGTCCTTGAGGATCTGATACAAAATATGAGCTCATCTCGCAGCGGACTATATTGTTCACTTAAACCCCTAGTTTTTAGTCCCAAGTGGTGAAGAAGGTGGAGCAATCCCTTCGCCTGTTCTGTCGCTCATCATTGTGGATTCTCAAGGGCTTTTAGGTTATGTTTTATTCCAGGGGTGCCACAGGTTGTAAGTATATTCAACGGGTGGTCTCACGTAACCGATGAGCATTTGCGGAAAGAAGGTAGAATCAGACCGTTCAAAAGTCCTACGCACTAGACCCAAGTGTTGATCGACTTTTCTCACTGCCATCTCAGCCAGCTTTGAGCACACGAGGTCGGTTTAAACGAGGACCCCGAGGTCATTTTCATGGAAAGCGCACTGTACGCCGTGTTCTACCAGTCGATATCGGTAGATGCTCTGGTAGCGAATGCCCATTACTTTGCACTCAGCAGAGTTAAACCCGAGCACTTTTTGGTTCTACAATACGTAAGTTCTGTCGAGATCATTATGCAATAGTGTTTGATGGCTTGTTTGCTTAATTGCCCTCCAAATTTTCAAGTCCTCCGCAAAGAGTAGAAAATTCCACATGGAAACTTCCACAAGGTTGTTTGGGAACACGAGAAATAGCTTTGCTGTTAGTACTGAGCGTTGAAGGGCTCCAGAGTGAAGCTGTATCGGATCGGACAGGGTGCTACGAACACGCACACTCGATCATCGTTGGAGTAGAAATGAATGAATCCAGCCCAGGATAGGGTCACCGGTCCCGTAGCCCGAAACTTATGAAGACGAATCCGGTGATCAAGCTGATCAAATGCCTTCGTGAAATCAAGGTAAACGGCTTCGACTTCTTCTTTAGTACCGACGGGTTCCGTCCAGCTAGCGAGGTCCAAAAAACGATTCGTGACACATGAGCAGTAGTAGCGGAATCCATGTTGCTCTTGCGCGACGATATGGCAATGTTTTAAGTATCCGATAAGTGCATCTACAACGACAGATTCCGCGCAATTAGTAAGTACAGGAAGAAGACTAATCGGGCGGTAGTTTGCGGACACTGAACGGTTGTATCCCATGTAAATAGGGGTTAATATTCCAAGCTTCCACTACTTTAGACCTGCATCTCGTTAAGCGAGCACTGGACAAACTGAGAGAATGGTTCAGCCAAGCTCGTGATAGCTACCATCAATGACTTAGGACGTATGCTCTCCTGACCTGGTGAACTATACTCGCATAGTGACAGTAGTCGGTGCAACACATCCGCGGCTGTGAAGGAAATGTGACTAAGACCTGGTAGTGATGTGATGTCTGTGAGAACAATTTGAGATGGTGATGCGTTCTGGAAGTACAAGCTAGCTGATGTCTAACAGCTTTAGCTTCTCCTTGGGGCAGTTCGCGCTTGCCCACAGATGGCGTTTGGAGGAGGGATTCAACGCCGTACTTTGCGACGTTTGTTAACATGCCCGTAAAGTAGTTAAGGATTGCATAAGAACTTTTTCGCTAAACCATGTTGGTATTTCAATACAACTTCCCAGGACAGCTTAACACTGGGGTTTCACTTAGTTATCTAAACCATCCATTTTCCAGCGTTTGCATCGGATTGCTATGCTTTCCAAAATGAAGCTCTCATGGCCAATCGTTCCAGCGTTCTGCTCCTCAGGAAGGACTTTACTGTTTGATCTAACTGTCTTAGGCTCTGTTGCGTTTGTTACTAGGGTGTTGGCCTGTCAGACGAACTTCCCGCAACTGACATTAGGGGGTTGTTCCGCTAGAAACGACCAATCAGTGACCTTAATAAGGTCGAATGAAATGTTGTGATGTGTTATTATGCGGAGCTCTTCGATTTCCCTGTCAGACTGTTCAGCATAGCAGACGTAGCGGAAAACCAGCGTTGTATGATCACTGCGCCCCAGTGGGCTAATCACCGTCACTGCGTCAACCATAAGTTCTTCATTGGTGAAACGAGGCCCAAAACGGCCGGTTTGTCCCTGGTTCTGAATTTTGTAGGGGAAGTAACGTGGTTATGGTGTGATAGAGCTGCGACTAATTCTTGTAGTTTCGCCTTAAACTGCTCGCTAGGTAAGGCAGCCACATCTGTTGCGTACACTTCGAAGTCCCCTAGGAGGAAAACGTAAGAGTTAGGCTGAGGCAGAACCGTTCTAGCGCACGAGATAAACGGTTGACTATTGCCAGTGTCAACATTGGGGGACGGTATAAGAGGGCAGCTGAACATGTAGCAGGCGGTATCAAAGTGTGTCCACAACTTGAAGCACTGAATAATAAATGATGTGGAAACGTAGAACACTAGTATTAAAAAATCACATCACCTCCCTGTGATAGTGGCTGAAAGCAGGGCTGAACCGAACTGCCTGCCGCAGGGCGGTCGATAAGGCGATGAATCGAGTGGGCAAGTAAGCTTTAAGTACATAGATAGTTGCAGTACGCAACAGATTTGTGAATAGAGCGTTTCTGTGCAGAGTCGGTGCAAGTTATTTCTGTCGACGCGGCTGGGTGAACAAAGCTCAACATGGTGTCAAAGGTACAAACGTGCCAAAACCTGCTCGCCATTGCGGAGCAATCAATGATCTCATTACCAACCCCGTAGATTTCCGTCCCACAACGCAACACAGGTACCGATGTTAGAGACGAGCCAGTCCTTTCGCCTCGGGAGCTCTGACTTGGAAGACCCGCCTTCCTGTTTTCGCCTCGATCTCCACTTCTCTGTAACCGATTTGGATCGGCCAGGAGTCGTTCGAGAGCTCTCGACTTGCTTCTTATGGGCTGTGTCAATCGGCTCGGCCTCGGTCCTGTGGGCTGCGCTAGCTGCGTACACATCTGATTTCTTGCGCTGTCCACATATTCCCGCTCCGTAGTTCCGGGCCCAGGCTAGTCGCTAGCCGTCCTTCTCGATCCGCTCTCAGCTAGCTCCGAAGAGCTCCCCCGAGGCATTCTTGGAAGCGGCCCCTCTACACCCACCACTCCCCTCGAGGACCTTTCTTCGTCTCGTACCATGGTCGCAGGAGAGCAGCATTCACCCAACGTTTCATTCCTCCGCAGTCGATTATGAAGTTGCGCGCTTTCTGGTCGATAATGGTGTAGGGGGCCTTTCCAGCGTTCTCTGAACTTGCTTGCGCCCGGCCTGTCATGATCCGGCCGATCGTTGTTTCGTAACTTGACTCGTTCTCCAACCCTGAATGGCCTCCACTTGTGAGCCTCATTCCTGGCGTCGTAATCTCGCTTATCCCGCGCTTGTCGAGCTTTGGTTTCGCTTCTGGCTTTCCCTCGCAGTCGCTCTTGATGCCCAGCTGGCTGTTTCCGCTCACCGGATGTTTTTCTGGGCTACCGGATGTACCCACGGACGCCGCGGATTTTTGGATTCACGTGCTGGATTCCACGTTTGCTTCGGAATTACTGTGTTTTGCGTTATCTTTCTGTGTGAATTGTGCACCAATATATTTCATTTGGTGTATTTTTCTATTTGTGCAAATTTGATTGAGGATCTCTTGCTAATTGTGGAGATCTCATTGATTGGCCAT